CTCCCTAAAGAAAAATGGCACCACATCTCCTAATACTTTCAAGTGACAGGCAAATTGGAAATCTATGATGCTTTTATTACAGAATATTTTGTGGCTTGAAACTTGGCTTGAAACTTGGAAGTAGCGGTCCATTTTTCTCCTGACTTTTACTCTGCTGGATGATTTACACCTATGCAAAGGGGTTTGCTGACAGACCAGAATTAGAGCTTTTATTTTGCTCTGTTGTAAATGATTTCTCAACATGCACAATCAGGTCCTAAAGGAGAAAGGGGAAAAAAAAGAGCTGTGAGTGTCAGTTTGGAGCCGGAACAAGTAGATTTAGCCTTTCTTCCTTTGGTGACTGTAACTATACAGTAAAGATATTTTAGGGCTCGGTGAAACAAACTTTCCTCCTAGCTCATCTTTCTGCTTTGTTTACATCTGCAATAAATACTTATAGATGAGAGATACCCACTGCGTTGATCCCTCCCTGCATGCGGAAGCAGAGCCAGCAGCCCTGGAAGACGAGGTGTGGGGCTGTCTATGGGCAGTAAGTCATAGCAATCTAACGCAGCACAAGTTTCCATCCTATAGATAAGTGTTTGCTAATACAACTGTTGAACACATCCGCCTGGATCACCCACTTCTGGAAATATCCTTAGCTCTGCTATAGGATCATCCTGGCTGTGTAGGAGACATCCAAAAGTGGTGGGTTACTGCCGAAGGGTGGACTTCTCTGCAACGCCATTGGAGGTGCCACTCTCCACAGACCATGAAGGACCTCCGCTGGCTTTGCTCTGAAGTTAAGCACCTTGATTAGGTGGAAAAAGGGAAATAAGAGCTTCAGGAACCAAGTACCCCTTGCTACTCCATGGCTGTGCCTATGGCCAATGCATAAAGTTTTATATACATGTATTTACAGTTTGCTGAGGCCTATCATCAGCTCCCACAGACATCAGTCCTTCACAAAATCCAGCTCTAAGACAGGGAAGAGATTGACTAAAATCTTATGGTGTGAACAATTTCCTTACACACGCTTGATGCACTTCTACGTATTTCTGTCTCCAACAACAATGGAATATAAGTAAATGCATATAGTCAACCTATTTCTCCTTAAGCCACAGATCATGCAGCTCAGTGCTCTGCTCCCCATACTATAATTTTTACCTCTTTTTGTACAAGAAAACTGCAGTGAGTGGTAAGCATTACAGCTGCTGTGCAAAAGACAAGTATACGGTTTAAGTTATGCTGCCCTACCTGGCTTAACTGTAGCCAAACCTACTTGACCACCCAGCTCTTAAATGCATAAAACTACTTCATTGCTATGCAGTTGCACTGTGCCAAAGCTCATACTGGATCTAATGATGTTTAAGCCAGTACAGTAAAGGTATCTTTGATCTGTACCTGAAAAACTTATTATTGCTTTTGTATTAGGGATCAAATTAAAGTAAAATAAGCCATATCCTGTATTATAAATGGAAATGCCTTTCTCCTGCTGGAACTAGAAAACAAAGCTCTTTGGGATTATTGTGAGTGGCAGCAGGCACGGTAAGGCAGAGAGAATTCTTTCCCTTGGCAGTCTTTGCTGTTGCATTTGGGGTCTGATTGTTTTTTGTTGACTTGGTCATTCATCAAGTGTCTCTAAGAAACAGCGCAAACAGTAGTTAAGCTCCTTCATTCTGTCCCTGCGGAGAAGGGAAGCAGCCATCGTCGCATCTGCCTCTTTGCTATGCTCATTTTAAAACTGGATAAATAAATTAGAGATATGATCATTCAAAGAACAAACTGTAAGCAGCTGCACGCTGGGGATTACGGATTCGGTGGACCGTAGTTCTCTGGTAAAGAAAACAGCAGCCATAGGAAACTCTTAGGCAGCAGTGTAGCATCTTTTGTATTATTTAGCGCACTGGCTTTGCAATCTTTGTGCATACAGAAATGCACAGCAAGAGATGTTATTCTTCCTAAGAGATGCCTTTTCGTTGTTACTCTTAGAGTGCTTATTTTCAGAGTAGCACTGTAGACAGATAAGTCTTTTACATTTATGTTTTAGGTACTCAGTATCTCCACAGACTGAGTATTTAACTTACTAATGTGTGGAGGACTTTTTCGGAAGCAAATTTTATTCATCAGAGACACCCCTTTAATTAACTTCCACACTTCTATGGGGAGAGGAATATAAAGAAAGCTAATAAT